TATTCTTTACTAAGCTAAAAGGTTACTTTTAGTATATAAACTATATTTATTAGTACCTTTATAAAACTTAGCTTATTAGGTATTAATAAAACTTCTTTATATTAATAACCTTAATATATATTACTTAATTATTAAGAGATATAATAACTAACTTACTTAGCTTAAATGCCTTATATAATTTATAAATATATACCTAGTATAGATTAGTTTCCTTATTTAAAATTATATTTATTATATTAAGTTAGAAAGCTATATAAAAGTAATAAGTATTATTATATTAGTATTACTTAGTATTATATAATATAGTTTAGATAAAAGCTATTAATATATAATAGTTAGGTTTTTTAAATAAGTAAGCTAGTTTATATTAGGTTTATATATATATATTATATAAGGTATAATACTAAGTAGTATATAGTATTATATTTCTTATTAATTAAGTAATATATATTAGGCTTAATAATATATAAATACTTTATTAATAACTAATAAGCTAAGTTTTATAAAAGTATTAATAAATATAGTTTTTATATTAAAGCTGCTTTATAGTAATTAGTAAGGTTATTATAGAATTAGTAATAATATTAATAAATTAGTACTAATTATAGTAAATTAGCTTTAATTATAAAGTCTTAGTGCTAATGCTCTTTAGCAGGAGGGTAATAATTAGTGGAAAATATAGGGGGCATATAATGGAATTGCTAGGGTTATAATAACTTTACTTTTTTATTTTTTATTTTAACTATTTACTTATATTATTATTTTTTATTTTTTAAGCTTTTACCTTAATATTAAAAAGAAGATAAATTAAAAAAAATATTAAAAAGTAATAATAATAACAGTAAGAGATAATATTATAAACTACCCGTTGGCTCGAGCCGGGGGGGGTCCACTAAGCAAGCTTAATTAGGCACAAAAGTCCAGGACAGTCACAAAAGGGTAGGACAACCCCGCTCCGCCAGCTATTGCAAATTCCCTCGATTTTATATATAAAATCAACAGAAATCCTAGGCGCCAGTTAGCTAAAATAGGAGTATTAGTATCTAAGTATATTATGCCTTTAAATGCAAATATTAGAGCAGCTTAAGCAGTTATTTCTTTATGCTAGTGACTTTAAAAAGGCCTCTCTTATAATGCTTTTAAATTAATAAAAAAGTATCTTTTAATACGCAATGCTAAGTAGTAGTATAAGGGCTCTAATAAGTTATTTATTATATATATTATTAAGTAGCTTAAAGTAGCTAAAATAGGATTTTAGCCTAGTTCTTAAGCTAAATAATAATTAGCTATAACTCCTTTTAGATATAGAAGAAGAAGCTATTATATGCTTTATTATTTAAATATAAAAGTCTGGTCTTCTGGCCTCTAAAGGCAAGATTAAAGATATAGTAAATATAATAAGAAGTTACTATAATCCTTATGCTTAGCCAGTCTTATGGATATAGTATAGGCGCTTTTATAATAATTATCCTGAGCTTAATACCTTGATTTTAAAGTTAAAAGAAGTAGCTTATTATAAGTATAAAGAAGCCGGCATAGAGGAGATAAAGCAGTAGTTTAAATAACTTTCTAAAGTTATTACTACATATAAAATTAGTGCCTTAAAGTATTAAAATGCTAATTAAGCCGGAATTAAAGTTAGAATACTATAAGAATATATATAATACCTTAATATATATATTAAAAAGAAGACTATAATAGAGGTATTCTTACTAAAAGATAGGGAGACTTATATAATAATTAGTATAGGTAATGCTATAAAAGTAACTACTTCTTTATAGCTTATCTTTAAAGCTTTTTTAATAATTAAGTAATTAGATATTAATAGTAATCCTAATATATGCTTTATATAGTTAAAAATGGCTTTTTTTAATACCGAGATAATACTTAAGTAAGTAAAGCACTTTAACTAGTAGTCTTAAGAGAAATTTACTATTATATAATATTATTAGCTAAATTTTAAATAGTAGTTTAGGTATAATAAGCACTTAAAAAGCAACTTTAACCCTATTACTTTATATAATATACCTTTAGGTATAGAAGGAAAAGAAGAAAAAGAGCTTATATAATAGTTACTTATAATTAATAGCTTCTTTAGTTATAGCTCCTTTACCTTTAGAGAATATTATATAAAATTTAATATCCTTATTACTTTCCTTCTTCCTTATTTAATATATATACTTTAACTAATAAACCTAAGTGTTTTTTAGTAGTTAAAGAATATATATTAAAAAAGGCTATAAGAAGCTTTATAAAAGGGAAATTTAATATTTAACTAACATAACTTTACAGGCTCCTTTAAGGTATATATTAGTAACTTATATCTTCTCTAAAAGACCTCTCTTTTTATATACTATTTCTTATAATATTAGAAAATCTTTAAAAAAGGCTTTATAACTGCCTATATTATTATAGGCTTTAAAAAGTCAGGTATTTTCTTACTAACTAAGGCACTAGTAGTTAGTTATCTGCTAAAGAGGAAGTTAAAGATTTATAAGGCTATTAATTTAGCATTATCTTTACTTTTATTAATAGAAAATTACTTCCTTATAGCCTTTAATATAATAAGAGATATTAATAACTACTATTATAATATTTTATACTTCTTAATATATTAAGGACTTAAAGCTATATAGAAGATTATTAGTAAAGCTATTATACTTAAAGATATTATAAAAAAATATATTACTAATTATTAAGAATATATTAAAAAGAGATATTATTAAAAAAAGTATAAAAAATAAAGAAAACTAATAAGAAATTATTTTTATAATATAAGCTTAAAAGAGCTTTATAAATAATAGGCTAAATTTATTAAAACAGAAGTAAAGTTTAAGCAGAGATCTTAGCTTTAAAATATATAATCTTTTATAATCTAATAAATAAAAGAGATAAAAGCTAAGTAATAGTAAAAGAAGGAGGTTATTATTAAAGGTATTAAAAAGAAAATATACTTTAAATAGTAGCTTAAATATATTAAAAGAGATATAAAATATACTTTTCTTAATGCCTTATAAGCCGAGATATCCTTATAGCTAAAGAAGAAAGAAAATTCCTTTATAATTAATACCTAGCTTGCCTTAGAAGCTTGCAAGGCTATTTATAATATTAGCTTTACAGTAAAGCCCCTCTTAGTAGCAGATTTATCCGGCCTTCTTAATAGCAATAACTCTATTAATTTTTAACTTATATAACTGCTAGTTAATGCCGATTTTAATAAAAAGGATAGCCTTATTAATTTATTAGAAGAAGAGGAAGTTATAATGCCCTTATTGCCGCCTTGCCTGCCTAACTATAAGTCCCCCCTTCTATTAGTGCCCTTAATACTATACCCTGCTTAATACTAAGCCTAATTTTATAATACCCTTATTTCCCTTATTAAAAAAGAAAGATCTGCTATAGGAGCCAGTTATAGGCCTTAGGAAGGACAGGAAAGTACCTAATTTACTAGAAAAGGCGTTCTTAATTAGCAGGCAAGCTTGCCGCTGCTATAGCTATTTCCCTCTTATAATTACAGTTAATAGCAGATATATTATTATAAGAAGCTTTATTTTAATAGATATAGCAATTTCACCTCTTTTAACGCCTTCAGAATAAAGATATATTAAAAATGCCGCAAAATACACTAAAAATCAGACCTAACTAGTGTCCCACCCTTTTATAACTGTCCCGGACTGTTGTGCCCAACTAAGCTTGCTTAGTGGCCCCCCCCGGCTCGAGCCAACGGGTAGTAGTTAAATATATTATATTATATTTTTTAGCTATTTTAGAGTTAAATTAACCTTGTATAAAAAGTTTAAAAAAGGGCTTTTAAGGTGAGAAATGTAGTGGCTCACTCGCTTGTCTGGCTTAGTTGCTTATTATATATGTTAGTACTATAATGTTAAAGTGTCTAATTCAGCGACTTACTGTTAAACAGGTGCTGGGGTCTCACGTGCAAGCAGGGATACTTTAAGATTGCAACTGAAATAGTAAAACCTCTAAGGGGCAGAATTCAACAGAACAGAACATGAATATACCAATTTATATTAATGAACCGAATATATGTAATGTCTAACAGCTTAAGGCTATCGAAACTTACCACGAGCACTAACTCACAATGGTTTAAAAAGCCTCAGCTCTTCTGCTAGTTCAGGTACTAGCGCTGGCATCTTTACTTAAACGGCCCTCACTCTCGAATAAAACCATGTTTCTTCACTTTGTTGCAACTATTGCATTAACATGTTTAATAAGCAAACGCCGCACTGCACTATATAGCTAAAAATAGCTTACCCTATAGTAATTAAAACCTTAAATAAAATAGCTAAAAACATAGAAAAAGTATTTTTAGTAATAGTATAATAATAGCTATATTATATATTTTTCCTAGATTTTGAAAAAAATTCCTTTATAAAGAAAAGATTAATTATATAGTATATTATATAGTGTATATAGGTTTTAAAGTTTATAGCTATATAGGATTTTCTTAGATTTCTTTAGAAGATAAAATAGCTTATTTTAAGACTTATATATATGCTATTAAAATTATAGCTATTTTAGGCTTAGTTTGGATTTTTAAAGAGTTTTTTAAAAACCGGATTTAAGGTGTATAGGGTAGTGCGGCGCTCGCTTCTCAAACACGTTAGGCTGGGCAAGTCGTACGCGACATATTCATATTTCCATTACTATTCTGATGCTGCTGTTGCCAAATTTCAACTGCTTGATTACCTGGACTAGTTCTATTAGTCGGCCTAAACGGCAGAAGTGACTATTTAGGTTGTTTCAGCGAATTTTACATCTATTACTGAGATATGCTGCGTACGAGTATGGGTTACCAACAATTCATTGTTTATTAGTCCTCCAGAACCTCCAGTTGTAAAGCCAAGCCAAGCCCTTCGATAAAAAAAAATAGTAAAATAGGTCCTGTTTGTTGTTACAATGACTGACAAGGAAACAAGACGCTTTTAGCATTTAAGATATTTCAATGCTATTAGCGCTATCTGAGGGAACGCAGTGCGTTTCTGTCATACATGCTGGAACAGGCTTACCATGTCCCCTACACAGGGGTCACAAGCATGCTAAGACTAAACCCGTTTTTCACTCCAGCCGCAAAAGTATCCTCTGCTTCTTTAAGCGCAGTTGATTTTGACCGTTTCCTCCCAGGCTTCACGTTCTCAACTGCCATGTTGGCATCGTCCTCTGTGTACCGGAGTGGTAGTGGATTGCCAAATTTGAAGCGTCGATGGGATAAGGCTCGGAGCCTCTCCTCTGCCCTCATCCCACTCTGATGCCACTGGATCCAATACATTTGTTCATGCTCCCGTAGATATCGGCTGCCGTGAAAGCTGTGTAGGACGGTCTGACGAGAAATCATACCGAGCGTCCGGCGATACTCGCTCTTGCTGTAAAAACGCTCAGTGAGCCAGTCAACGTCCTCAGGGGTAATGTCATCGGGCAACTCGGGAACACTATTCTGGCTCCCAGCTTCATCTGTAAACTGACTCCACCGTCCAACCATACTTAGCATACTGATCTGGGCACGGGCCAAGGCAAGAGGATCATTGGGAGGTACGACCTCTCCATATTGTTGTTCGGGGTTCTTCGGGTCCGTCAAAACCAAAGCCGTGGCGCCGACCTCGGTGGCGACAATAGGAACACCGGCCAAAGCTGCCTCGCCAATGGCTAGCGGCAAACCTTCAGAGATGGACGAGTTCATGAACAGCCACGCGTCCTTCAAGACTTCCTTTGGGTCGCCAAATCCCGCTAGGATAACCTTGTCCGAAAGGTTGTTATCCACGATGAACTTCTCCATCTCCAGCGCGTAGGCTGGCTGGCGGTCCTTTGCGCCATATATGACCAGCTGGTAGTCGGTAAAGCCAAAGCGGTTGATTATGATTTCAGCGGCCTGGGCGGCCACCTTGACGCCCTTGATTACCTGTACGTTGGACAGCATGACAACAGTGGGCTTGTAAGTGCGGATTTTATCGACAGGAGTGAAGGACTCCATGTTGCTGATGCCGTTGACGATTGGGTCGATCTTGCGACTAAACATGTTTCGATTACCAACGGTACCTTTGTCTGTACCAATTTCAATTTCCCACATACTAGAATACTGAGTTAGTGATACCAGGATCATCTCTGCTCGTGGGAATAATACTTACGGGTTGAAAAGTGACGCACAGGGCGAAATCACATCGGCATGAAAATAAGCGAGGCGTGTAGCAAGACCAACACCAGCAAGTAGCATCGACTGCACTGCAACGGGGAGCTCACATTGAGCAGGGCTGATATTCAGGCAGGTCTCTCGCCAAAGGATGGCATGGTCCCAGATGCTGAAGTGAGCGCCACGGCGATATTTGAGTATTAGGCCAAAGAGACTACTTATACCATGATGAGTGCTTTGGAACGCACGAGGACACTCATCAGGCACCTGAACCGCGAAAATGAAGAAGTAAGCGCGAAAGATACCGAGAGCATCGCGGAAATCAGGGATACTGGGTCGCTCGATTTCGAAGCACTGGGATGGGCTGGCGATATTAGGGTCGTCATACTCCTTCAGCCAAGCCGCCACCCACCCTTCCTCGAGATGCAGTGATGTCCAGGTGGAAGAATAATCCTTATATTCATAGTACTTGGCCATGGATAGAATAACGTTGCCGTACTTGATAAGGTCGGCGCGGGAGAGATGTTTTGTGCGAGCTCCTTTAACAAATTCTGTGAGGAGCGGCAGAAAGGTATCGATAATATCCCGTTGGACTTGAGTGTTAGCTATCTTCTCATCAACCTGAGACTCGAGGAGGTTATCAATGACACCATGATTTGCTGTGCCGCCGTCAATGCCCCAGAGTGGTAACAGCTTGAGCGATTGTACATTCTTCTCAATCTGGAAACGCGGGACGCCGTAGTCGTTGGCACACTCCGCGAGGACGTGGTTGCGGATTGTACTATGCCCATTAACCAGATCACGTCGGCAGTTGGAAACACCCCCAGGTGCTACTGGCCAGCAACCAATGTCATTAAATATGATTGAAACGCGATCCTCTGTGTCCTTGAAACAGTCTTGAGGGCGGGCTGTAATCGGTGTAGCGTCATTGCTAAGGCCCATGGCGTAGAGATCTGAAGTCTTGAGTCTAAGCAAACAGAGCTCAGACACATCTGTCTCAATATCAATAGCTGATACAATTTGATGGATGTTTTCATCCAAAGCTCGGCGAGCGTCGTCCAGGCGGCCACGATCCCTCGCATGCCAGTACTTGCGAAGTAGACGCTCCTCACGAAGAACGAGCTCATCTATCCAGCAGGCGGTAACAGCATCGAGTTTGCCACTCTTAAGCCAGTTGTTCCACAGCGCAGTGCGGATGTGCCAGGTCGGTACGCGTCTGTACCTGCGTCGGTTCCAAAACCCAATCCATGAAACCGGGTTAAGAGACGAGAGAACGTTCCGAGTCCTAATAGCATGCTGCTGCATCTGTCGTATCTGATTTGTCTCATGGTATATGAGGAGATCATCATAATCGAACGACACATCCTTTGGATACTTCAGGAAGATAGACTCCTGGGGAAACACCTCAGGAGCTTTGACCAGGGCTGTCCTAAGGCCATCACCGTCATCCAGAAAGGTCGTGATGATCGGATCACGTCGATGCAGGTGCTCGTAGATGCTTGTATATATTTTGCTGTCGACCTTCCTGACAATGCGTCCCACCTTCTGAGACGGAACCCAGCTGTAGTCCTCAGGGTCGACAGGGGTTCCCCAAAATACGGATAACATGTTGTCGGAATCTGAGTTGGCTAGCGTGAAATCGGCTCGTAGAACATCGCAACTGTCCTTCATGTCTGACTTGTAGTGGAAGTGGAAAGCAAACACTATGTCCTGATGTTTGACAGTTCCACGTACTACTCTGCCACGCTCATCATAGTAGCCAACGCTGCAAAAGTCCTTTTCAGAAACCATTTTGGTGAGTGGCCAACGAGAAAAAATATTCTCATCATACTCGTACGTGGAAATACTACCATTCTTATTCTCTCTGACTTTGAGGCGGACTTGATCGTCGTAGGTGTCAATGGAAAGCGGTGCATCATCAGCTAGTTGCTCTTGAAGTGTCCCGGAATATATTCTCAGCGTCATTGTCCCGTTGTCATTGATCGAGGCAAATCCAGTGATAGCCTTCCGGGGCATCTCGACGATGATAGAGTTGTTCTGAATTTTGCGTCGTGCGCCTTTTTGGGCAATACGCATGAGGCCCACAAGGGAGGGTCGATGATAGATCAATACCCAATAAAGCCACATGTTCTTCATGGCTCGGCAAATGTTCCAGATGAAAAGGATGATCCGGATGGCGCCATCTTTCAAGGGTGCATTTCCGAGACAATAAGCAAGCTCTCGCTCTATGTTGGAGCCCCCACTGGAGATGATAGCAACCCATTTCACAAACTGCAGTGGGATTACCAGCAGTACATTCCAGAAACCCTGGAGCATTCCTGAGGGCTCTGGTTTGCCAACGATATTGATAGGCCTCAACTCAGCTGGGCATTCCGGTACAACTCCAAGCCCCTGATTCGGTAAGATTGGAATTTGGCCTAGTCTTTCTTGGCACTTCTGAAACACCTGAAGAGTGAGGTTGATGTGAAAGTCCGATGTCTCCAGGTCGACGCCACCCGCTAATGCCCACTGCGTCATCTCGGGGGACACAGCAACATCATCACCAGAAATGCGATGAACAATGGCTTCACGAACAACCTGAGGGGTCCTCTCCCACTCACAGTTGACGTTGACGTCCAGGCAGAGGTGTCTCATCAGCTCTGCTTCTGTCTTGAGGACGAGTCGTGTCGTATGTTGTACATCTCCCAGGGCAAGTTCCATATCGATGCGCTTTGATAAAACCCCCGTCTTATGAAGCAAGTGCTCAGCTTGGATCGCTTTGGCATGGGAGGCTTTCAGTTGCGAACGTGCTACGTGGTACAGCAGACATTCGCCAATCACTGCCATCAGGAAACTGTGCCAGGCGGGACTAGCGACTTCAGCTTCTCCTATTAAGCCAATCGTCACCTGAAGGACATTGTCTTCTTTCCGGCTGAAGGAGGTAACATCTGACAAGCTTGCTCGTACAAATTCCTCGCGGCTGGCGATTTTGACGACGACTGATTGACTCAACCACATTTCCAAAGTGGTTTGAAGAAGCTCAAGAGACCAAGGGACATCGGTGGCAACTCCATGCTGGGTTTCAAGGCTGTGGTGCAATAGCTCCAAGACCTTATCGGAAGTCACATTCCCGTCATTATGCCGGACCGTTGAGCCACTCAAGGCTTTGAGCGTCGTAGTGCTCGGAGTCTTGAAAGGTGGACAAACTTCCGCCCCAAGCCTCCGCTGAACAAGGACACTAGACTCATCTCGACGAGTGCTGCTAGTGGACTCCGAGCGTGAGGCTGCTGTCCAATCCTTCCAGATCCAAAGGGACGTTCCAGCGGCACCGCAAACCGAAGCTATGTTTTGCGCGATAACGTCGGTATACAGGGACTGCGCCGTGGCGGGAACAATATGTAAGATGCAGCCAGCGATGAACCCGATAGCGGCAGAGGAAAGAATGATGGTAATATGGACGTTGACGTTTGTGGTGAAGCATCTGTTGAACTGGAATACGATGGCACATGTGTATCCCAGGACATACATGTAATAAATAAGAGTCGTCTCCAAGGTATCAACAAAGACGTAGAGCATCAAAGTAGCCATGCCAAAAGTAACGAAGAGTTTGGCCATGATGTCGGTCAGAGCTTTGAAAATGCAGACACGGCGATAAGCCTCAGCCCTAGCCGCAAGTTCCTGGGCATGCTCCAAATCACGCAGTTTCTCCTTAGATATGTTATCTTTCAGCGCCCAGTATTCATGTAGCGTCGAGTCCAACAACATGGCGCCAACGCAAAAGTACACGATGCAGAGACACAGGCCGTAACGGGATCTAGGATCGGTGTAAATGCTGGGATATGGGCCTCCTGCGCTCCACACCATCATCAACCAACGATCCATGAGAGCAACCAAGAACAGCCCGAGATTCTGTCCAATGTCGAAGCGGGCGAGACGGAATATGATAAAGGGGTTGTGATCCTTGAGACCTCGCGATAGTTGACGTTGCTGGTTGGTTGACTCGGCGATCAAGGTAAACCACGCAGTACTGAAGGTATCAGGGCGGTTCCCTGTGGGCATTGTCTTCTTCAACAGCCAGTCGATGTACGGCATTCCTTCTGCCACACGAGACACCAGGGGATCGGCCAAGACACCGGAGACTCGAGCTTCCCTGGTTCGCCTCTGGTGAGAAACAAGAGCGATGGTGAATGCTTCCTGTGCCATAGCAGCCTCGTCTTTCTTCTCACCCTTCTCCTCGTCATCACGGAACTCTGGGACTTCCTGAGCTTGATACCACTTAACGATATCATTGTGTGTAAACTTTGGGATGCGGTCCATCCAGCTGATCCACTCGTGACAAAGTCTTCGAAATCTATATAATGTCACGAACAGAAAGGTATACATGACAGGAAGGTAGATTACCATGTCATAGCCGTTGACAAAGGTAGAGACGATGGGCGAAATCAGCAGTATCGGCATGACCTTCAAAAGAATATTGCGACCAGATCGGATTGGGCTCTCGTGTTGATGCATGGCACTCATAACACCCAAGAGGTTAAAGTAGGTGGTAATGCAAACAAGAAATGCCACGAAAACGAAGCCAGTGGCGACTGAGAAGCGGAGGGAAAAAAGAATAAGACCGGCAAAGCCGACGACTAGAGTAAGGATGAAGCCGCCAGAGAGTCTTTGGACGTGAAAGTATACCATATTCTCGTACGCATAGTGTGCGGCATAGTAGTTTCCCGTACTGCCAACCCAGCCCGTGACTCCAGCTGTTAACAGAAGTGAGAGGAGCAACGCATAGCCAGCAGCCTCGAGATGTTCCGGGTCCATGAAGGCAGTCATAAACAAACCTCGCCCAACAAAGGTAAGCAGGATGATGTCCACAATAGCCGGGACGCAGAAGATGGACATGGCACCAGCTTCGGCAAGTCTCTTTCTCCAGAGCTGAACGGTCTCATGACGGGTAAGCTTCTCGGAGGTAGATGCAGAATCATTGCTATCCTTAGGAGCAGGGGTCGCGTCGGTCTTGGAGTACATGGTCATAATTTCGTTACCGTTGCGGTCCTCTGAAGTTGGAGGGGAACTTTCGAGAAAGGTGCGGTACTTGTTGTAGACAATATTGCCAAGGTCCCGAGGGAGCAGACCAAAGTACACCTCACATTGCGAGCCAAGGGCCCAGAGCTCACAGAAAACGGCGGCTTGGTCGGGCTGTGAGGCAAAGAGTGGGCAGCGATCTGTCGACTCCATGTAGACATCTTCGAATGCAGCCCTTCTGAGAACGCTAAAGAAAATGAGAGCGAACAGCTCCGCATTGATGTCGACATAACCGCAATCGTTGGATGGATTGGATGGATCATAAGCTGACAAGAGAACAGAGGTCAGTGAGCGGAGGGTTTTCCGTTCACCAAAGAAAAGAGCATCTTCAACGGCTTCGTTGGTGAGATCATGGAGAGTCACCAAGTTGTCCAAAGATGGCAGCTCTGTTGCACCCTGTCGCACGTAATGCTCCAACCTCATACGGAGGATATCTTTTATGCTTGAAGAGCCATCTAGCACTCTTTGAGCACATGTTTGTTTCCATGATGCTTTGGAGGTCTCGTTGATCAGAATAGAATGGCAGAGGCTCTTGATACCATCCCCAATCGGGTGATTGAGGCGAGACACGCGCAACTTTTGAACCAAGCCAAGGATTTCGGCGTATGTCGCTCTTTCTATCGCCGTTCGGATACTCAATGGCACGCTCGAGCCGCCATTGGGTCTGTCAGCTAGTTCCAGCTCCAATTCTTGCTCGAATCGTTGTTCTCGGGGAGTTCCTTGATGCGCCAGCCAGGTGTGAAAAATGGCAGCAGCATCATTGGGAGCCTTTTGTGAAATGTATATATCAACACATCGCTCCTGGGCTTCATTGCGCTCGTGAGAAACACCCCAAAAGTGAGCATCGCCGTCCGCAAGGCCAAATCCAGTATCCAGACCCTTATAAATGCGGACTTGGCGAGATTTGGCCAATGAAACGAGGTCGTGAACGGCCCTGTCACATTTTTCACGCTTGGCTAGAGTTGACCAAGTCTTCAGCAATATCTCCTCTTCGTTTCCTTCGACGGCATGCAGCATGTTCAGCTTTCTGAGATGGACTTGAGTCTCCACAACGGCCCGATAATGTTGTGCCCTGGGCTCTGAGGTCACTGGAAAGCATCCCAGGGCTGACAATTTCTTGCCATCGTGGGAGGAATCCCAAAAGCTTGCCCGAGGAGGTGCGCGATGGACGTACTCGGGTGATGAGTAAAGTTTGACCGTTTGAGTACGTATCAACTCGAGTTCGGGAGCCAATTGATTGTGTTTCAAAAGCTCCGAAGCACGAGTAATCAATGTATCCAGGTCTTCCAAAGGCAACTGTGCGATTTTGCTATCAGACGATCCGTTGGGAATCCAAACCTTCCTGGCCTCAGATGTCCAAGACTTTTGAAGCTGCCCAGGGTATTAGCTATGTCATTCTTATCAACCTGGGAAAGGGTTGGACCTTCATACCTCAATAATTTCTGGTCGACGCAGGTACTCGAAACCACTGAGCGTCTGAGTTGCGCAGCTGTTTGTGACCTTCAGCAACACACTCGTATCCTTTGGTCCATGCTCAATCACTGCGCCAAAGTGTTCAGCCAGCTTTGCTGCCCGACGAACTACGGATGGATGGGGTTTTCGGTCCCATTTGTCAAAGAAGCCAAGGAAAAAGTCAGCTCTCTGTTCCCGCTCCGTGCCGACTCTGGCCACAATCTGACGGAGTCGCTTCGCCTTGAAATAGTCGCGACGCTCCCCGTTTGGAAGGATGCACGCATTCTCAATTATCAATCCCGAAGCGTGTGTAAGACTAATGGAATCCAGCGCTTCGGAATCATGTTGGCATGAGAGAAGCACGGGAATATTCAAGGAATAAAGTCGTTCCAACAAATAATTTACCTGTCCGGGCTTCTTGGGAATAGAGTATTGAAGCGCAAATCCGGCCAGCTCATTGCGAAGATGAATGTTGAGGAGAAAATCGATCGTTTCCTCGATGTGTGAGTCTTCGAGAGCGTCCGGACCAAAAGCATCAATGTCAATATTCGCTAGACTCATCTTGGAGGCGACGTGTTCCACGGTGCATATGGATGAGTGTGAGTCACCAGGCTCACCTCTGACACTTCCTCCCATATAGAGGGGCAGCACCACCAGATCGTATTCCCGATATGAGCCATTGGACGACTGGACATCGAGTTCTGATAGGAAGGTGAATGATTTGTTAGAGCGGAACATATGTAACGCTGGCCTGCTGTCATCTCTCGAGCCATCTGTCTTGTCAATTTTCTCCTTTGAGGTCCTGAAAGCTGTTAGCCAGCACCGATAGATAGCACTGAGCGCACCATCGACTTACCACAGTGACTTGAGACCATCCTTCAACAGAAACGTGATGATGTAATACGTGAAGTAGAATAAGACAGGTACCAAGAAGGAGCTGAGAGCAAGTGAGATGTTCACCAACTGGAACGTATGGACGAATCTCTGATTTTCCGGAAGGATGCTGTTGCAGTACACTTTAAACCTAGAGTTACTGCAGTCATCAAAGGTAGGATTCAATGACCCAGGCTGAAAGAAGGAAGCCATTTCGGAACAAAGAAAAGGAAGTAAAACGAAGGGACGAAGAATCAGCTCCTACAGCCAGAGAGACTGGAGCAATGAAAGCAAAGTTTCACTGGCGTTAGCACATGGCTGGAAACTGCAATTAAGGTCAAGAAAACAATGTGCTTAAATGAAAGTGTTTCTAGAAATATCCATGAAACAGGTGGGAAACAACCGAGCTGAGAAAAAAGAATGCATGCCAACGTTAAATATCGGATGTATGGGGCGAAAAGGATATGATACTTTTTAGAAAAGAATTGAGTGCGGAGAAGCAGAATTTCTTAACACGATACTACACTCTTAAGCCCCTCCGTTGGTTATTTCAGGCCAATGAAGTCACAGGCATAGATATGCGCATCTTCTCGGACAAAAACGTCCGTTCATTTCGGGGAAAACCTAAACAGCAGGCATTGGGGCCTCAACGTCCCCATCATTGTAGCAGGAACAGAGCTCGGAGATTAAGTGTTTCTGTGGTTGGGAGAGAACCATCAGTAGTGAGTTTCAGCGTGACGCTAAAACCATGGACAGGCTAAGCCATAACAACAGCACCTACATAACCCCCCCGGCTAGTTGCCTAGACACGCACAGACCATGCATATACCAGTCCTGGTTTTGCCGTCTGAGCTGCAGCAACTAGCGACGGTCCAAGCACAGTTGAATCTGGAATCGTGAGATGTTACATCCAACGATAGACTAGTATAGCACATTACACATACAGACCCATGAAAATTGCCGCATGGGCATACGAACAGACACAGTTCCATCCTCATGGTAGGCTAGTGGTGAGGCAGCAGACTGAGGGCGTGGGCTTCGATGGCCCGGAACTCCGAAAGAAGACGGCGGGACATACAGCATTTGCCAAAATGGCCCCATCTGCAATCTCAATGGCTGAGGAAGTACTATCTTCAAAGATACCAACTAATTTCCAAAACGTTCTGGCATCAAGTATTCAGACTATGAGTGCTTGTGAAGCCTCATTTACTAGCGAAGCTACCCAATTCCACGATTTACCAACGGACTGCGTATGAGTTAGCTTAGATTAGATATCCGAGCGTACAGTGAGGGTCATTGACTTGTGATGCTAAACTGAAGTCATCACCGTTGATCTTTGAGCAGACTGTTGGGGTTTCTGGACTCGCAATTTTCTTCATCGTGATGGCGCTATGCATTATTCCAACATGAGATGCGTCCTAGCAGCAAGTCTTGAAATTCAGGAGTTCGCCCACTCGAAAAGTTCAAGTCTTGGCACAGAAATCTCGAAGACTTTGTTGAGCAGCTGAAATCTCTCGCTTAGTCTATCATTTCATATCTGTTCATTTCATCAGTATCCTGCCCCAGGAGCCTTAAACTGTCACTCAAAAGTATCCAAGCAATTCAATCACCAATCACAACACGGATTCTATCCGATTACACTTGAGGATGTTGTCTTCGTCTTCCCCATCAGAATCACTTTCCTTTTTTTCCATTCTTACGACCCCGGAGCCTGATTTCGGCGATGGCTTTGCCGGTCACCAGGAGTCGTCGACTTCAACTGCCACCTTTATCCTAGTCATAGGTGGCCTCGGATACATTGGATCGCACACCTCCTTGGAGCTCCTCAAGGCCGGTCACAACGTTATCATTGTCGATGACTTAAGCAACAGCTTCCACAGCGTCTTCACTCGCGTAAGGAAGGTTGCTGAGAAGTTCTGCCATGAAAGTCAGCGCTGCATGCCTATCCTGCACTTCCATAAGCTTGACTACCGCAGCAAGTCGCTGAGATTTTTGCTCGAGTCATACTCGGACTTGATCACAGTCCCTTCAAGCTCTCCCCACGGCTCTCCCGTCCTGACGCACAGGTCCAAGATTACGGGAGTTATCCATTTCGCTGCGTACAAGTCCGTCAGCGAGTCCATCTTGAAGCCTGCCCAATACTATCGCAACAACGTGTGTGGCCTTGTGGAACTCATTGACCTTCTTGGCAAGCACAACATCCGCACTTTCGTCTTCTCCTCGTCTGCAACTGTGTATGGTACCAAGGCAGATGAGGGGCACCCGCTCCACGAGGAAGATCTGATTCACCATCCTGAGATGTACATGGACGAGAACGGCAAAGAACAGGTTAGGATGCCTATGGTTCAAGGGCTCCTCAGTCCCTATGCTAGATCCAAGTACTTCTGCGAGGCCATTTTAGCAGATATGGCTCTATCGGATCCTGATTGGCGCATTGTTGCCTTACGATATTTTAACCCTATCGGATGTGACCGATCCGGTCTCCTTGGAGAGGAGGCTAGGGGTGTGCCCAGCAACCTGTTTCCCATGATCACCCGAGTACTTACGGGTGAGCGAAAGGAGCTGGAAATTTTCGGCACCGACTGGGATACAAGGGACGGCACTGCGGTGCGCGACTTTATTCATGTCTCGGATCTGGCTCGTGGCCATATTGCAGCCCTCAGCGCCGACATTAACACGCCGTTCCGCAGCTTCAACCTAGGCACAGGTAATGGCACCACTGTCCAGGAAGCAGTGGCCAGCCTAGAACAAGCATCGCGCCAGCAAATCCCAGTGCGACTGGCTCCACGCCGAGATGGCGACGTCGGCTCGTGTGTCGCAGCTAACGGGCGGTCGGTTAAGGAGCTCGGCTGGTCTGCCACCGAGAGCATCTCGCAATGCGCCGCTGACCTTTGGAACTTTATTTCAAAAGCGCAAGTGGATCGAGCACCCCAAGTTGGCGATATGAATTGAATATGAGGCGCTAATACAGCCACATCGTCCATTTGCTATGGGCTGACTAATCAAACATCAAGAGTTTAAACTTCAAGTGTGGGTTTGGGTAGGAAAAGAAGGGAGCTAATGTAATAATATCGTTTTTATGTCTTTTAGTTATTTCTTTATTGTGGATTTCCTTTTTGATCTATTTAAAGTATAAAGTAAAATTATCTTGTACTAAACTATGATCTTGGGTTTCGTAGCATTCACAATGACATCAACTCAGACCTGGGGTTAGATCTAGCTTTATACACTACTGGCCTACTGGGTCCGCGTCCTTGATGCCATATCGCCCAAGCGCCTAGGCTACTGCCCGTGCGTTAGGAAAATTATATAGCGTCCGTCATCCCAAGACGACTCGATGTTTGACCTGCAAGGGCCACTTCTCACCATAGCGGAGCCATGACCACAACCAAAATCACAACACCACGTTATGGCCATGTCCCAGGTCAGCCATTTGTTCTCGTACCTCTCTATATTTATCCTCTGGGAAACGCTTGGCAGCCGCTTTTTGACATTGCGTGCTCAATGCCCCACGTTCAATTTATCGCAATCATAAACCCCTGCAATGGGCCTGGCACGGACGCGCTCCCGGACCCAAGTTACGCAGCAGTTCTGCAGAGGCTGAGGTCCGTTCCTAATATACGACCAATCGGCTATATTCACTGCAGCTATGGCCATCGGAGCCTTGATGCCGTCTTTCGAGACATTGATGTCTATCATGGCTGGAATCACGACTTACGGCTAGAGGGTATTTTCGTCGACGAAACCCCATCGGATCCGACATTACTTCCATACATGTCCGCTATTGCCAGATACACGAGAAAGAAATGGCAACAGACGTCTGATCGCTCAAGTTTGATTGTTTACAATCCGGGCGTTGTCGTTGACCCAGGCTACTTTGTAGACCCCGATTTGGTGGTGGTCTTTGAACAGTCTGAGTTTCATTGGAGAAGTCCAGAAATTCAGAAGTCTATCGCTCAGGTGTCCCTAGAATTGAGGTCTAAAGCTGTTGCAATCGTCCACTCCTTAACGGAAAGTCTTGATGATGCGGCCCGGCTCACTACTGAGATACGTTTACTGGGTTTTGGGGGTCTCCATTTAACGGAGCAAGTTGGTGGTGGCTTCAGTAAGTGGCCAGTCATGTGGGCCACGGTGGCTGCGGAGATAGGCGGGAAAGGTATGTCCTGTTAAGCCTATTACCTATTAGCAGGACAACTAGGTATAGGAATTATAGCAGTAGCCACTGTATTAGTCAGGCTTTAGTACGACTGGGAAGAGGGTGTTATTGTAATTATATAAGGTGGCCGAGCTAGAGGAATAAAAAGAGAAATAAAGAAATGGAAGAGAAATGAACATAGATGGAAAGGACAAGGCGCAAATGTATTTCTAATCTGCCTCGTCTAGTAATAAGTGCAAATCCTTTCAAAGAAGGCGCTTGATTTGGTTAACTTGATGTACTTGTTAAAGTCCCTTCCTATCGCGAGGTTGACCGCCGTAGTCGGCCTTATAATATATATATGTATCTATGTATATTTTTCGTCCGGGGGGGCATCGGCCCCGAAATGTCTCCTAAGGGAGCACAGGACGTGCTGAGCTAAACTATCTATAATTGCTGTCGCATCCGACTCCACCTAGAACACCTGTAATGTCCACTCGCATCAATGGAGAGCTTCGCAGGTCCTTTCCCCCAAGTGGCACTTTCCTACTCGTAGCCAGCCCTACGGTAGTTTCAAGCATATTATCTTAGACGTTAAAGCAGGTAGTTCTGGCAAAGTTCCATGTAACTGCTATTCTATCTAGTTCATCCAGCATATTATCGGCATAATGGCGCTTTACTTTCGAGAGGGCATCCCGTCAGCGGGAACAGATCCCTCTCTAGCCTAGAATTCTCTTGCATAGATAGATCAAGTAGCTTTCCATACCCTAAGGTAGGAAGTCTATGTCCTCTCAGATTGCCGGTAGCTGCGACCTAAACCGTGCATCCTTGGGGAAAACCCTCGCAGGAGAAAAACCTAAGGCGGCCAGAACGCTGCTCTGTGGATAAGGTAGTCGCCTCGTTCTACGGTCTCTAGGTAAGCTCTGTACCGTTTTGACCTAGCGGTTTTGTCAAGTGGTCTTAACCAGTGAGACAAATTATTGAAGCCCGGTTGTGTTCCGGGCAGCAGCCGGGGCTGTAAAGAAGAAGAGGGTCTCTGGGCAGTATGTGACTGCAGAGATCGGTTATGTTTCCGAGCTGCAAAAAGGGCAGCGAGCCATGTGGGGCTCGTGCGTCGAGGTCGGGGCACTAAAGGGCCTAGAAAGTCGAGCAGCTGAGGGCTGCTGGGGTTGCTCGGGCAGCCAAAGCGGCAGTGGTCGGCCGAGGCAGCGCTAAACTGCAGGCGAAGGTGAAGGTGAGGGTGTAATGGCCCTAAATATCAAGCAGCAGGATGCCGCAAATGTTGTCTGGGCAGCCGAGGCTGCTGAGGTCGATCGTACGGGAATCAAGGGGCGCAGAGCCCAGAATTTCGCAGGCTCGCGAAGCCGAAAAAGTGGAGGTAAAAAGAAGCCGCAAATACCACAAATGAAATAGCGCCCGGGGACGATATCAAGAGCTCGCGAAGCTCAGTGTCGTTGAAGACACTCTTCACGAAGAAAGGTCAACTCTCTGAATCCCTTTCTTCCAGCAGCTGTTAGGGTCCCGTTAGCCCCACAGTTGCTTTTGCTGCCATTTTGGCCTGCAAAAATTCTTTACCCTAGCAAAACGCTAACAGCGGGTGCCAAGGAAAGTTTTTTTACAGGAGAGAGTTTGAGTTAGCCTTATAATAATGGTGTTGCTTTTTGTTATAGGGTAACTTATCTCTTATATCAGATATGAATATTTTCAATAACGAGGATTAAGATTATTACTTAATTTTTATAGCTTCTTTTATTTATAATAGGATAAGGTGCTTATAAGGTAGCGTGTATAATAAGCGAATGCACCAGACAAGCAAATGCACTATCCTACTTTTTACCTTTAAAGCTAATTTTTAAAAATCTATATAATATTCAGGCCAGGCCTAGAATAGCTAAAAGCTTAATAAAATATATTTTACTATTATATCTTCTTATAGTTATTATATAAGAAATATAATTAAAATCTTTATAAAGTTATAAGAGAAGGTATAATTATACTATAAAATAAACTGTATTTTAAGGTTTTTTATATAAAATAAAATACCTATAAATCTAAAAAAAAATCATAATTTACTAAGAAAAACTATACTATTATAAATAATATTTCTTTTAGATTTTTAGCTATTTTATTTAAGCTTTAAATACTCTAGGGTAAGCTACTTTTAGCTGCACAGTATAGTGGTGCACTTGCTTCTCTGGTGCATTCGCTTATCATATACGTTAATTTAATATATTATTATAGGCCTACCGAATCGTATTCTTCTTAATATAACAATATTTGTGTCTACTAAGTATTGAGAGAAATACATGTTTGAGAAACACGATACTTTAGAATACTCTTAGGTTATGAACACATGTAATAATATTTCCATAACTATATTAACGTTAAGAAATTAACGTGGTTGATAAGCTTGCGTGACAGACAAGTATGCGTGACACTTGTATTTCCACCTTAAATGTGGTTTTTTAGAAATCCATCAAAAAGCCAAATTTAGCCTAAAATAGCTATAAATTTAAGAGCTTATATTTAAGTCTTAAAATATGCCATATTAATTTTCTTATATTTTTAAAATATCTTTATATAGCTATAAACTTTAAAGTTTATTTACACTGTAAAATACACTATATTTTAAGGTTCCTATATAAACTAAAATAGCTAAAAATGTTTAAAAAATACTATTTAATACAGTTAGTTATACTATTATAAAAAGTATTTTTTTTTACAAACTTTTAGCTATTTTATTTAAGCTTTAAAAGTACTCTAAGGTAGGTTATTTCTAGTTATACAGTATACTGTCACGCATATTTGTATGTCACGCAAGCTTATCAACCACGTTATGTTTATATTGCTTTTGTTGTTATTATCCCCCCGCGTTACTAACGACCCGTGAATAGCAGTTTTTCTATGAAAAAAGTACACAAGAAAATTACATGAGACCTTTTCAATTAGACTTTTTCAGATCGGTTGTGTATGACCTCTCGTCACAATATCGCACCCAACCGTCGAGATTCATCTTTTTAATAACCGTACTGAAGTCCTCGGTGCCCGTGGCGTTGCTCGAATTGCCACATATCGCATTAACCCTTGAGTCTAGAACCCTGTCGGAAGCTCCTGCGGGATACTCTATGTTGAACACGGGTTTCCCGTTTTTTATAAAGGCCGCAAATGTCTCGCACTCTGAATACTCGATGCACTGTTCGTTGACTGAAAAGTGCACGACGTCAAGAACGCCAGGGATAATATCCCCAGCGTTTTTCAGACCTGTAGACATATTATAGTCGGCGGCTGCCTTGGACAGGAATTTGACAAAATCAACAGCATCGTTTTGAGTAAGGCCAAGACCATTGTCGTTTTGCTTAACATGCATCAGTTAGCAACGCATCACATACCTAGATCGTCTACCGACTGCACAACCGGTGAGATGAGGGCCAACTTACAAAACCATCGACGTTATCGGGATCAATAGCATCACAGCCCTTCTTTGCAGCATACTCGATGCGTCTCTTCATGATGTCGCGCACCTTTCTGTTGCGAACATCGATCCAACGTTCACCAGACCAACCCTCAAGCTCTTTTCCCAAGTGAGCTTCTTCAAACTGGTCCTTATCGTCTCTCCAGTTCTCATAGGTCCCGGCACTGAAGTAGCATATGACCTTCTTGCCAGTCTTGTGCAAAGCTTTGAAAGTGTTGGCATCATTGTCGAAGAGATCTACATCGTAGATTGTTACATTAGGCTCGACTTTGCCCTCATCATCAATCGCAATAGGATCGAGAAGCACAATCTGCCAAGATTCCCCGACCTTAGGTTGCCAGATTTCTGTTTTGTTGTGTCTTTTGTTCGGGGCAAGATCATGCTTTTCTGACCCATGATTCTTGCGGGAATAGACGACGCCTAAAACTGCCCCAAGAGGAATTGTAATGATGAGGAAAAGCCCGACGAGAGGGAGAATTTTCCACATCGGCCAAGAGGTCTTGGCAGCGAGGCGTTTGCCAAAAGGAAGCTGTGCAGCGGCCATGGTTCGGAAAGAAAAACCACTGCTTTGTACAGGACGGGGAATGAGAAACAACTTCGGAAGCAGAAAAGCGGCAGTAAAGGATTGGGAGCCTTTGGTACTACTTCCTATCGCATTGCAAGCGGTTGTCAAACATTGAACTGGAAAACCCCGAGGTACTATTAATAATGCATGTTTACGATACAATTAGAGAGCGACGGGCCACCGGACATAATAGCCCGACACGTTGCATCTGTTTAGCAACCCCACTAACTAACTATCAAAGGGAGTTGCTTAGGGTGCAAAACGTGTTATTAGATTAATAATAGATCGAGAGGGTTGAGAAAGTAAGACGCTAAGGAAAAGAGTGATCTAGAACTATTCATTGATGTAATTGTGATTTCTTTCTAGCGTAATAAAATAAGGTTTAGATATGAAAGTTATTAATCCTTGCTGCTGCCTCGCCTAGTCGAACGCCACTTACAAGCCGCTAATCTGGAAAAGATCCGTGTTGAGGGTACACCAAAGTGCTCGCCATCGCTATGTCCCGCGCCTAACGCAGGGGCCGCTTTGAGATGAGACCACCCGGACGACTTTAAGTGTCGAGTTTCGGCGTAGGCTCTGCGCACGGCTTATGCTCCCGCAATGCACTGCCACGCATGGATAGGAGACGTTGGCGTCTGCTGTGGACGCTTCACCTGCGTGCCAAGACTAAGAACAAGCATGCGCATCTTTAGTGCATAGGCGGCTATTAGCGTGGGAATTATCTGATTTGACCGGTGGGAACCAGATCATAACGAAGTTTGGATCATCTTTTAATTGAAAGAGAGCCTCGTCACTGTTCAATCATAGTTGCCTAGTCAAAACCGCCACCACCGGTGAGCTATGGCTTTAATATCTAATCCGTGGCCATTTTGGTATAAGCCCCCTCCTGACGGTTATTTGACTTGTCCGTTTTTGACCTACAACAGTTTGACTATTGAGTCCTGACAATTTGAGCCGTTGTGAACCTTTTTAGTCCTCTGTTCTCTACTCTAGGCTTGTGTCTTTATTAAGGAAGCCATACGCTGAGATTCAGCCTCCTTCACTCACCACTCGTTTATCACTCTTTTCTTCATCATCACTCTTTCATCTGGCTTAATAACTCCACTTTCCTTAAAGGCTCGTCCTGTGTTGTCACCCTTTGAGTTTTTGTCGTTACTTCGTCACTCATTCTGTCATTTTTCGATACCAAAGTCGTAATGCGTTCCATTATAGGCTTTGTCGTCGCTGCCCTCGGTTTACTGGGAGCTAGCGACGCTCAGACATCTTCTGATACTCCTGTCACTGTTGCTTCCGCTGCTACCTTGGACTCTACAGTCCTCATCATTGCCCCTGATGAGTATTCGGCCTCGACTGCTAGTTTAGGTCTTCAGGGTTATGGCATTCCCTTCGAGAATCTCTTGGTTCCTCAAGCCGGCATTGATCTGCCAACCATGAACTCGTCTGCCTCGCACGGCAAATACGGTGGCATCATCGTCATTGGCTCTGTCTCGTACAATTACGATGGCAACTGGCACAGCGCTCTTACTGATACTCAGTGGACCACCCTCTATGAGTACCAGGCCAATTTCCATGTCCGCATGGTTCGTATCAATGAGTATCCCGGCCCTCGCTTCGGTAAAGTAGCAGCTAAGAAGTTAAACCAATCTCGGTGGTGACTAATAAAGGTGATAGGTGCCAGTGCCATCGCTGGCGGATGCTGTGACAACGGCGTGGAACAACTAGTTAGCATCACCGACACCAGCGATTTCGCTACTGCCAATGTCAAGAAGTACGTTGTTAATGTCGATGATTGGTTCGAGGGGAACACTTTCGCTAACAGTATTTAGGAACGCAGGATTGTCTACCAAAGGTCTTTACCACGTCCCCGCAACCATTACCGACACGAGCACTACTCGTCAGGTCGCTGAATTTGGCACTGCCAAAGGGTTTTCTAGCAAGAGCGTTGCTGCTGTGATCAACAACTTCAACGGCCGTGAGCAATTTGTCTGGTTCCTCAGCTGGGCTCCTGACTGGTCACAGACCTCGGCATTCCTTCAGCATACTCATATCCACTGGATGACTCGAGGTCTTTTCCTTGGCAAGCGAAAGATACACTTGGGGTGCCAAATTGACGACATCCAACTCCACGCTGAACTTTACTATCCAGCTGGTCAGCTGTTCAAGATCCGGACTGATGATCTTGACGCCCACGTCAACTGGCAGAATAACCTCAAGACCCGATTGCCTGCTGGTTCCGACTTCAGATTGGAGCTTGCCCATAATGGTAATGGAGATATCATAGCTGCCACAGGCGGCAACGGGAACGAGCAGAATGTGTGCGTTCCTGACTACGCGGTAGACCCTGAAATCCCCCCCAACACTCCCCTTGAATGGGTCAAGCCTCCTGGAACTGGCACGGATCTCTGGCCTGCAGAGTTTGTTGAGTATGGTTGGTCATTGACTTGCGCCAAGCGCGATGCCTTTGCCAAATGGTTCTTGAACAAAGACAACCTTAATCAGTTTGCACATCTCTCTCACACCTTCACCCATCTGTCGCTGAACAATGCCACATACCATGATGCCTCTCGAGAGATCTACTTCAACCAGGCCTGGATGGCCCAGATGGGAATTGACAAAGCGACTCGATTCTCTGCACATGGTCTCATCCCCCCTGCTATCACTGGCTTGCACAACGCCGATGTTATTAAGGCTTGGTTAGATAATGGCATCTACTACGTCGTTGGTGATAACACCCGCGCCCCATTGCGCAACCCGAGCAACAAGTTCTGGCCTTTGATCAGCACTGTCGCGGCAAACGGCTATGATGGCCTCGTCATTTTGCCTCGATTTTCAACGACTATCTACTACAACTGCGACACGGCTGAATGTACCACATTGGAGTGGATTCAAACATCTGGGGGCAGCGGCGGTTTTAGTGACCTCCTAGCCCAGGCTAAGAATGATAACACGCGTTACCTATTCTCCTTGATGTCCGACCCTTATATGTTCCATCAGGCAAACTTGCGCCAGACCGATATGCCAACTATCACTGTGGGAGATCAGACCGGCAAAATGTCCCTCGTTATGTCATGGGTTGAGACTATTACTCAGGAGATGACCCGGTTGACCAACTGGCCCATTACTTCACTCAAGCATGACGACATCGCAGAGTATTTCCTCAACAGAAAGGCGGTTGATGATTGTCATCCAAAGCTCTCATACGCCTTCTCTGACAATGGCTTGTCTATCAAGTCGATAACTGTTACTGCGGATGGCAATCAGTGCAGCACTCCTATTCCCGTTACCATCCCCTCGGGTTCTGTCACTGCCTCCGGCGGCTCTGCTACTGCGGACCAGGTCGGCACTGAGCCTCCAATCCAATGGGTGAAGCTCAATGGCTCACCTGTTACACTTACACTTGGCCAAACTGTTCCCCTTTGAGATGTACACTAAATAGAGATTTATTAGATCAGTCTGTTTACCATTAGAGGATCTTACATAACTTGGGATCGTGTATATTATATCGTAAACTAAATCGTTAATGGAATAAATAGTGCGTTTATGTGAGTTTTCATCTGGGAATAACTTACAATTATCAGTGTGTATACCAGCCAGTTAACAAAACTTCAATAATGACCACTTCGACTGCTCTTCGACGCAATTGGACAGGCCTGTCTCGATCCTCATTCAAGGAAATGGAGCTGGCTCCGTCCCATCGTTGGCCGCAGGCTCCGTACGTACGGCCCGTTCAACGATTAGAATCAGTTTTCCGTGGAGAGTACCAAAATGGTCCTCGGCGGCGGATTGAAGGCACTCAAAACCTTTCCGTCCTCGAGCCAAGAAGGAATCTGTCACTCTGAAGCTAGTAGCTGTGCTCGGTCCGCCAAACCTCACCTCGAAGGGGCAGCATGCATAGGAGAGACGCCATTTTCTAGCAAGATAGGCCTCCGGTGGTTATCTGGGGTGTCTGTTTGCAGCGGTCTCTTACAGCGTCTGCTGCAAAAACAAGAGCGACGATTCTGCGTTTATAATCTGCGGATCTTATCGTGTGTATATCCGACCGTAGATGGCCAGAGTGATTCACAAGTTGGGTCTGCAGATAAACCTTTGGCAATATCTTCGTTAAAAAGTGCAATAGTATTAATGCTATACTTCAACTAAATACAGTATCAAACAGATTCAGATCAATGCCCAAGTTTGAATGATAGTAATATTCGAGTCTTCTGATTTCCCCCTTTGGCCGTAACGGTATGGGTGTAAATGCTCCTGTGGCAGATGACGTGTCGATTCTGATGTGTCTCACGGAGGGCCTTGCGTACTAGCTATTCGGAGGTAGTCATTTTAGACGTTATAGCTTCATAAGTTCTCCATAAACATAGCCATAAGGCAACAGAAGGAGTACTTACGTGCAGGGACGCGACTTATACCCAGGAATTTGGTGCATGCAAATATGACAATCACAGCCCCCAGGGCCTTCTGAGCAAAATGGTTTCACAGGGTTCATCACGCTATAAACTATAAAATGATCTGTTGCAGCCGTTAAAGAAACAGTAGCTAGGTTTAAGATAAAACTAAGAGGGCCGGTGAGTTACATGTTAGACGTAATAGTGCAAATAAAAGAAAGGAGTAAAATGCTTTTACGTATACGATAAGCGAGTGGATCAAAAATCCCTCATATACCTCTTCTATCAAATCAATTACCTCTCAACCACCAAATATGTCAAAATCTAATAAAGAGTTTCAAATCATTCTTGCACTTCAGGTTGAGGCATCTTGGTATAATAAGGATGAAGTGGGTGAAGGTTGCGGGAGAGGTGACAGCTGTGTTGGTGACAAACAGATAAAAATGCAAAGCAAAGATAACTTTATGACGTAAGATAAAGTGAGCCGATTCGATGTAGTTGCTGCACTGTCATTGGCAGTCATTTGAAGGCTGAGTGCGTGAGCATTGCGCAGCGTGATTAAGCCAAGGTTTTTTCAATCCCCCAGCTCTTCAGCCATCTACGTATGAGGGAAAACATCTTCTTCTCAACTTCATCTCATCATAAGCTTACAGCATCCTACAGAAGCATGGCTGAAGAATTTGCCGCGCTTTTAATAGCCACAAACATAGCGCAGTTTACCGAATACGCCTTGGCTCTAATATCGTACTGCCGCGAAATCTATGAGTCGGTAGATGGAGCTAAGCAGGAGAACCTGGAACTCGAAACGGTTATACAGTCCATTCAAGATAGGCACAACTGCATGAAAGCAACATGCCGTGGCAGCAGTGGACAGGCACCGCCCAAAAGAACCCTGAAGCTTATAGAATCCTGTGAGCCTTACATAAACAGTCTTATAAGCACTCTGGGGAAGATTAAGGCTACGAAGAAGTCACGGTTTCCCAAACTTGGAAGCTTGCGCGCTACCATTGTGGCCTCATGCAATTTTAATACCCTTCGCGGCCTGAAGAAGCGTCTGTTGGTTATAGAAGAGAAGGTCAGCCGCGAAATAATCAAGATATTGACGTAAGATGTTTAATTCCTGGATTTCAATCAAGACTGACTCTTGACAGAGACAAACATTCCGATGCAATGCTGTCACTGAGAAATCTACAGGAAATGAACGAGCGGGGTCAACAAAACACCAACAGTCGACTAACCATGGTGAAAGATGAATTAATCAAAAATGTCACACAGTTATCTCAGACGTAGATTGAGTCCAACAACAGGGGATTTGCAGAAGTCGTTTCCAATGTGGAAGAGCTTGTCAAGGAGGCAGAAGAGGTTGTGCGCGATCAACGATTCCTTGACTCGCTCAGTTTCGAAGACTTGAAAGAAAGAGAGTACAGAATCAAAGACGCGAGCGTGACAACCCTCGCTTGGATCTTTCTGTTGAAATGAGAAGATGCTTGTTGCTTAATTCGTCGTAAAAGTGCAGCAGGGGAGCCACTGTTTATGTACAGGCACGATCTCTTGTAGAATGTTCCTCCTTCTTCCACACCTTGCAACCGCCTTGGTCGCCTCACACTTGTGATCTCCAACACAAATGGTTCTGGACACACATAATGCTCCACCTACAAACGCCTTCGGAGAAGGAAGAGTGAAGCGCAGAAAGTGGCAGAAACCTTGCCTCCCCTGGCCCCTGACGCTTCAGCTGTTCAGTTCCATCGCTTTTCACATTTGATTCCCTGACACCCTTAGCTTAACTCACCTCAACCAGGCTGGCGGTCCATTCCATTTCCATCCACGCAGCCTCTTGTAGAATGGATGGACGTCCATTTAGGCCCACCTTGGAGGGAATGGATGGAAATGGACGCTAAGAGTGGGCCCATGGAATGGATAGACGTGGAAATGGAAATGCGTGGACGCTATAAAGGTACAGTAAACGTGATCCTCCCACCCGTTGCCTCCCGGGCCTCCGCAAAGCTCATTTCAGCTAACAGATCAGTCCCTAGCACCTTTACATCCTCAAGTAGCTTCTCCGTGCTCTTAATATAGCCTCCGCAATGCCATGATCTCACCGTCTGTGTCATCCCTATCGTACTAGCGCCCAGCCTGGCACGATCGTCTCGAACCATTCGACCGCATATTGATAAGAACCTCTCAACATCAGCAGATATAGGAAGGACAGAGAGCACATCGAGAGCCATATGTGATAGACGTGGATACTCTTCTCGTCTCTCATACCAATAACGTAATCCATAAGCGAGCGCCGCACACAAGCAAGCGCCGCACTTTCCAGCACTACTTAGCAATTATCCTCAATTATACCCGCCATTACACTAATAATCAACAACAATTATATCAGAAATAGATAAAGCTAATAATTCTGTAGTCTCTAGGCAAGTTCGCGCATTATGCCTAGCTTTACCGCAAGTGCCACAGCGCCGCGACTTTAAACAGGCACTTCCCACATAACGACCATTCTATTGCCTTTCCTAAGGTGTTTTATTATCTGCAGCCTTTTTAGCCAGCAAATCCTATGCGTCTTGCACAGTAAGTGATCCTCCTAGCCTCACGCATGCTCTTTTAGCTCTCCGGCGTTTACTAAGAGCTTCATTAGCCTTATAAAAGGAGGAGACCTCTGCTTCTAAAAGGGCCACCTGATATATTATTGCTTTTGCGCCTTTTGCAAACTAATTAACTGCATTAATTATCAATATCAGGGAGCTATTTTAGTAATTAGAGATACAAGTCTTAATTAGTTCTGACTGCGAGTTAGCTTCCAAGGGGTTCTGGGGCATCTTAGGGATCCAAGGGTCAGCTAAGGTTGAAGGGGGTAGTGTAGGTATTGGAGTCCGTATCCGTACATCTAGTTTAGAAAGAACCCTTTCCGGGTCATGCAGCACAAGTCCAGCTCCCATAAAGCCTCCCTGTATGTTTTTTTTTATTATAAAAGCAAAGAAGGCCTCGCGAAATGCACAAAGGAACTCAACCTTACTTATATATGTAATATATGCTCGCATTAAATGCTCAATCTATTGACTATATGCCTTCTTTATTAGCCTAAAACACCCAATATCTAGCGGCTGGAGGTAATAAGAGGAATAGGAAGGCAGATAGAGTATAATAATGTTATATTCTTTGCAATAGAGCTTAAAAATGGTAGAGTAGTAGCTCTCGTGGCCGTCAAGGATTAACAGCCAATGGGTGCCTTTTATACAACTCGCTATATACTTGTTAAAGTGCTTGATCCAATCCAGGCCTACTTCGTTAGTAGTCTAACTATTATCTGTAGTTATGATTATCCAGTCAGCCAGAAGGTTACTCTCTATATACTAGTTGGCTAGATAGTACTGCGCGGCCAGGATAATGAATAGCAGGATGGCCCAGCCTTACGCATTCACACCTTAGATTACCGTTGCCCACTCTCAATTGCCGGGCTATGCTAGCTTAGCCTTGCTACGGCTATCTAAGGTAGTGACCACTATGCATGCGAAGATAATACCTATTATAAACCCAGTCTCGTTAAAGTTATAGGTATCCTCATCTAGTATGCCATACTTAGCTTTAACATTCCATATAAGTACAAACCACTCAGAAATAACCTTCAGATCTTCGCATTTAGCTCTCTGATAATCATATTTCCGAGAAAAACGCATACAAAGCTCTGGCCAGCATCTAATGAAGTTAGAGGTCCAGTTCTTGCCAACAGCCGACGCGTCGCATATGCAAACCAGTTAGTTAGCCATATCTTCTACGCTACGTAATCTAGGCAGGAAAGATCATATATACAACTCAATTATATACTAGATAATGACCTCTTTTTCTAACTGTATAAGCTTCCTCGAATTAGGTATAGTATCGTGTTATGCAGCAGAGCCATCGCGTCGTCGGCAAATGGTTCTATCAGACACCCTGTAGATCTTCGCTGCGGCCCGTACGCTTAGATTTTGGTCTTTCTGAATAGCTTCGAGAGCTAGATTCACCCTGGCTTCGTACGGAACCGAAGATATGTCTTATTATGGCGGTTTTTGGGTGTTGAATGTAGAATAGACGCGTCGCGTGGAGAAGTGCGGCGCTCGCTTGTGTGCGGCGCTCGCTTGTGGATTACGTTATAAGCTAATGAGAGGTGGTGAATTTCCTCTTTTACTGAAAATGGGACGGATAATAAGGATGTAGCGTCCCGCGCAGCCGTAAAACAACTCGACCGCCATAACGGCATCCCAATTACCCGTATAGAGCCTCCTCGACCTAAAAAGGATTTGGGCTTCTGGCTTGTAAGGCCAGCTGCTATCCAGTGTCCACAGAGATACGGAATGGATCTCAGAAGACACCAGGTATGAACCGTTTAGCCGAATGATGCCACTTCTCCCACTCATGGCCAAATGTCTCTCTTAAAATTGTCTCCTCATCTTTAACGCGCTGAGCCAACTTCCATGCCATCAGTAGAAAGGCCAGACTGAAGGCCATGTAGCCCCATCCGTTTAGGGTTGCCGACACGGTCTCCGGGATCCAGCAGGCCAGTACGCCGTCCCATCGCAGGAACAGTACCGAGTTCGTCCCCAGAACGACCACTTGTCCCGTGTAGCTTGGATGCTGCACATAACGATAGATGCCCGTCGTGGTGAGCCGGTCAGGCTGTGCGAGGTTGAAAGTGAAGTTCTTGCCCAGTCTCTGGAAGGACATGAACCGTAGAGGAGCTCCAATACAGATAATCAAGAGGAAGCAAGTTAAGGTGTACGTACTCCACTTGAAAAGCAGAGCATTCAAATTGGCAAGATGCGGACAGATAGCTTCGGCGCCAGGCAAGGCAAGTATGAGGGCAACGTGGAAGATAGTAAATCCGGTGATAAGAATGCGGCGAATATTAGCTGCGCTAGAGCTGGCGTAATACCCCAGCGCGTCCTTTTTCCAGACACGGGCTGGGGTGGGATTTGGCGGGGTAGAGCAGAGTACAGTAAGATAGGTCGACAGGAGCAGAACGAGGACAAAGGCGAGGGTCTGGAGAGACAGCATCCTATGCGTTATGTCAGGAGCATGAGCTCTTGAAGAATTCAAAGGGCAAGACACACAGAAGAGGTATCAAATATATAGACACACGACAAGAAGGTAAGCGGCGTAAAAATAGACCGTCTGCCATAAGGGCGCTCTGCAGACTTAATAATAAACATCTTCCGATATTTCCCGCTTAGCGTCCTAGTATCTCCGAAGACTTCTAATACTTGGCTTTACCTATTAGCTAGCCCTACTCTTCTATTCTAGATCATCGCCCGCCCCTATTCATCAGTTACCCCCTATAAATTGCCTCATACCCTAACGCCTGTTTATCTCTAGCAGAAGATCTAAACTTTAGTCTCCTCTATTCTCCTACTTGCTTACCGCTTTAGAAATAGTACTAGGATTATATTATTTATATAATTATATCTAGAACGCAACTAATCGCATACTTATACTTTTGCTCTTACTTTTGCTCTTATTTATAAGTTATAACTACTTATCTTTCTTTAACCTTAGTCTCTTTATAAGATTTAATTTTTTAATATAATTACTATAAATTTAAATAATCTCTTATATTATAATAACTACTAGTATATTAATATATTTTATAACCCTTTATATACCTATAAACCTACTAAGAATAAGTCTTTTAAATAATTAATAGACTATCTGCCTTATATATAGGATCTAGATAAGATTAGTAAATCAGTCTGACCCTTACTAGACTCTATACCTATTCTGTTTCTTACTACCTTCTATAATAGGATATACTGCCTGCTTTATAAGAATAATTAAGCTTATGCTATATTTGCCATAGCTATACTACTATAGAAAAGCACCTAAGGAAAAGGTATAATTAGCTAATATATAAACTAGGGCTACTAGGTAATAATACTAAGAGTAATATAAAAGGTTTAATTTATACTAGGCTAGTAAAAGGCTTAATAACCTACTAGATACTATTTTATAATTATTAAAATAGCTATTTTATAATTAACTATTTAAAAAATAAAAATAAACCTAGATTACCCTTGCCCTTACTTAACTTAAGTATTAAAATAGTAAGTAAAACTTTAAGTTATTTAACTACTAGTAAATTATAATACTTAATTAACCTTTAGCTAGTAAAGTTAAAAGAGGGCTTAATAAGTTAAGGTAATATTAATATTAATTTAATATCTTAAGATATACTATATTAATTATAATAGCTTTATATTATTAAATAGCCCTACTTTTTAAAGCCTTATTAGGAAAGGCTATTAGAAGTTATAGCCCTTATATTCCTCCTTAATTTAGATAAATTATATAACTATAGTATTTAGGGTAATTAAGATGGCTTGCTTTATATTATTCTTCTATTTATTAATTATATTATTACCTAGGCATAAAGCTTACTTGAAAAGGGAAAGCTTAATATCTTTAATTAATACTAGCTTAATTTCTTTATTACTAGGTAATTATTATAAAAGCTATTAATTTATAATTTAAAAGAAAAGATATATATAAAGTATATTTAAGTATTAAAGTACTTAATATATTATATCTTTTATCTTACCTAATAAAAGGTATAGCTAATTATAAAGTTTTAACTTATTAAGGCATAAAAAATATTAATAATTAAAGCTATTAGCACTATAGCTAAACTAGCCTAGAGTTATAGCAAAAGATTACCCTTAGACTAATATAAGAGTTTAAGTAAAAGGCTTAATAATAAGTACTTACTATTTCTAGTTTCTCTCCTAGACTATAAGCTATATAGAGATATCTATAATAGTATTATGGTCGGCAATTCGTCTACCTGCAACTAAACCAAGTATAGGTATTATATAAAAGCTTTATAATACTGCTAATTTTATACCTAAGCTTTTAGTATTTATTAAAATAAGCCAGCTTCTAGTTAGTAAGTAAGCTCTACTAGCAGTTAAGCTTAATAAGGCTAATATTCTGGCCTAAGCATTAGAAGAGATGCAGGATTAATTCAAGACTAAAGAGTCGAGGTTACCTATCAGTTAGTCCCTTAAATATCAAGCCTATAGGAAGGCTATTTAAGATAACACAACGAGCCTCGGGCAGATCATCTGGCCCAGGCTTGTTAACAAATAAATAAAATCAAATCAAATCAAATCAAATTGCAGGAGCCGAATTTATTTAGATATCTGGATTTATTCCAAAGATTGAGATATTGGGTTTTGTGTGAAATGAGATATTAAACCGAGTTGTCCAACTCAAGAACACAATAGAATGGCATCATCGTAAATCCCCATCTTGACGTATTATTGTGCTCGCTGAAATTGTTGTGCGCATTAGCATATTTGTAATTGATTGATAAATCCTTGCACTGTACTTTTTTCGTGGGACAAAATGTTCAAGCCAACATGGTATCTGAGTGGACGGCTACAAACGGCACCCCAATGATCAATCACCTGGCCGGAAAGAACAGCGGCTCAGGTCCAGATTTAGTGGAGGACACCCAGTAAACAAACACCAAAGCGAGCTCAACCAAAAACCACAAATGGGCCGTGGAGATATTTAGGGTAACCATTTCTTGAGACACCTTCAACCGAACATTGTTACTGTACGGTATCTGACACTGACACGAAGATAGGAGCCAAGTTGGACGAGAAAACCAATTCTACTACTACAGTTGATATTGTTATTGAGTACCAGGCTGCGCACTTATTCTATAAACCATATTGACTTTGTCAGTACTGTCACCTGCTCCACAAGCCTTGACGTCCTGATTCCTGTAATGATCATGTCCTCGGACAAGTATTAACTTTCCTAGAATTTTAAAAAAATCCTATATAGCTATAAACTTTAAAGTCTATTTATAGTATAAAATACACTATATTTTAAGGTTTTCTATATAAACTAAAATACTTAAAAATCTTTTAAAAATACTTTTTAATAAAGTTAACTATACTATTTTAGGAAAACCTTTTATTTAATTTTTAGCTAATTTATTTAAGCTTTAAAATGCTATAAGGTAAGCTATTATTAGCTGCACAATATGCTGGCCAACTCGCTTATCTGGCCAACTTGCTTATTAACTATATTATAAGCTATTAAATCTTAGCTATTTTAAGCTTAATTTAAATTTTTAAGAATTATTTAAAAATGTCAGACATTACATATATTCGGTTCATTGATGTAAATTGGTGTATTCATGCTTTGTTCTGTTGAATTCTGCCCCTTAGAGTTTTTACCATTTCGGTTGCAATCTTAAAGTATCCCTGCTTGCACGTAAGACCCCAGCACCTGTTCAACAATTATACCTTATCTTATCTTATCAGACAACAGGGGTACCGTGCCGTTTGACTGTGATAGCGTTCCATTTAAAACCGATGCATACTAGTTCCTGGAAATTAACATAGGTGCTGTTCATCCAAGGCGCGGCCTTATTGGCTGAGTCCTCACAGACACAAGCGAAATCCGATATCCTAAACCTATCATTAATCCAACTTGCACTATTGATATCTTAAAGGTCACTGAACTGCTAAACCAAACGGATTTAGTTATATATTAGATCTGCATGAATTCCCTATAAGTTACTAAACCTATACTAGGGCTATATACTAATTAGATATTGTTAGTTTAATAACTAGGCTGGCTGACTTATTAACCCCTATATGCTAAGATAAGATAGTTAATATAATAATAATAATTAAAATAAATAAAATATAAATAATATTTAGTATTATTCTTCTATAATTAAGCTTTAGCCAGCAATAATATAGCTACTTATAATCTTATATAAAGATAATATTGCTTAACTAGCAGATAGAATTATAGCTATAATAAATTAAAACCGTATTAAAATATACTTATTATGCCAGATAAGGCTCTTATCTAAAGCGCTATTACTTAAATCCCCTAACTCTAAAGGCATCGTGTAACGGCTGCACCTAACCACTACGCCACAGGGCAAAAGATCGGGCTATAACTGCTATTATAGCAATTACAGTGGTGCATGCAGCTGCTTATAGAGCCTTATAGCGCTGTTACGGGCACGAATCGTAACACTTTTATAGACTTAAGATAATTTAATTCTTTCTATTATCCCTTATAATAATATTTTAAACTATTTACAGGCTTATTATAGTTTCTTAGTTATCTTATTTTAATTCTTACTATTTACTTGCCTATCTTATTAATAATTTACTCTTACTTTAGAATTGCGTCCTTAAGTTCCCTAGCTATCTTAATATCTTATTCTATATTACGACCCTAGCAGTTACGTCTCGTAAACCCTATTATTTTTCCCTAATTATAGAGAAAGACTCGGTCTAGCAGGTTAGACTGGCCTTCTAAATAGTTTAATCTACTAATAAGATAAGGACTAAAGACTCTTATTTAACAGTCTATCTAGACTGATATATAAACACTACCAGTCTATAAGGGACTAATTTTATTTTATTATTAGTCCTTATTATAACCCTAAGTATATAAAGTATATTTACTAGTACTTTTATAAATTCTAGCTTACTAGCTATTAATAAGACTTCTTTACCTAAATATACCTAACCTGCTTTATTTATTATTAAGAGATATAATACTTTATAATTACTTAATATAATGCCTTATAACTCTATAAATATTAAACCTAATATAAACTAGTTTACTTATTTAAAACCCTTTTTATTATATATTAATAACTCTTATTTAAAATATACTATATTAATAACTAAGTAATATTATATTATTAAGATATTTAGTAATACTAGCTTAATACCTCCTTATACTAAAGTACTACCTAATATTATTAAGATAATAGCTAAAGTTTAATAGCTTTATAATACTATCTATATCTTATAAGCCTAAATAAATATATATCTTACTATAACTACTAATAAAGAAAGTAATAAATAGGACTTATATAAAGTATTTAAGCCCTTTAGGCTAAAACCTTTTAGAGGCTAAGCTATAAATATAATCTTATTCCTAACTTAAATAAAGGCTTACTTCTGCCTTTATAAGAATAAGCTAAATATCCTTATAAAGAAACTCCTATATACTATAAGCTTAATTTAAGGAGATATAAAAGATTAATTTAAATCTATCTTAAGAGATTTCCTTAAGAATAAAGAAGAAGTATAAAATTAAGATACCTAGAATATCTTTAAAAACTAAGATAATTTTAAATAAACTCTTAAAGATAATTTTAAAGTAATTAATAAAGA